ACGAAATTAAGAATTTACCGTTCCAACTTGCTTACGTTAGATTCTGAATACGTCTGGCATATTGTCGATGAATGATTGTATTTTCATTGTTGTTTTTTTGCTGTTTTCTTCATTCACATACATTTTTTTAGTATTGGGCTAGTTGCTTATATAACACCTTCTACTCAAAAACATACAACGAGTGTCACAAAATACTTGCATAATTACAAGGTTGGTAAAACCAAGATAAATACAAACATGACAAGTTGGTGATCTATCAATTACGAAAGCTACCCGTACAGTAATTTTCATTGTTGGATTTTAAGTTGCCTTTGGGAACAAACCTTCGAGTCAACGCCAAAAGAAGCACCCTAGAGTGTTCACCTGAATAGATACATGTTCCATGATGCATACTGATCTCCTTCAGTGCCGGGTGCGGCATCAGTGGTGACAGCCGCGCCCCTACCGTCATCAATATTTAACCAATCAATATATCTTCTTTCTTACCGAGCTTTAAGCATAAAATCTTTGCTTCAGCTCTGATAGCTAAACTTAGAGGAGGTTCTGTACTGAAATCGATAGTTCTAGACATTTCCGTAGCCAGAATTTGAACCATAGTCGTTGCAAAGTGACTTGCCGCAGCTTTTCGAGGACTTGAAAAATGTTGCTTTGGTACAGTCGAAGTTCAGCACCAAGGAGAGGACCCGGTCACACGCGTTGTAAAATAGATCGCAAACTGAGAGCGTTATTGGGTTAGACGTGCATATGTCTTGAGAAAATCTTACGACGAACTACGACAAATGCAACCGCGCTGTTAAGAACAAGGAGACTTTGTTTTATTTTGACTAGTTCCACGCACTGTTATGTTTAAGACATGCACAACACACATGTGTCAATGTGTCATTTTTGTGCGAGCACACGATCCAACGCTTCTATTGATTTTGGTAGGGAAGAGAGGTTTTCTCTGAAAATAAAATGTCAATCGCGTTCGCAGATGGATTCATCGTGATATTTGCGCGTTCATCTGAGCCATTTTAATGATTGAGAAGCGGCTATTGCACACGCATCAAAGCTGCTTTTTGTGCCAGGGTACTCCGTAAATGAACAGCATGAGAGCTTCGTGCATGTTGATTTACTCCGTACGCCAGAACTGTCACGATGTTTTTATTTGTCACGGTGTAGAAATTTGGCCATAAATAGGCCACTTCAAGATTTTTTTAACCTTGTCACTGTATTTTTAGATTTCTGTATATTATGTTGTCGTCTTTGTCACGTGCATCTATGTCTATGGGCTCTGTCTGAATTAAACAATGAATAAATAAATAAACATCGATACGATACGAAACTAATCGATATATTATTTATACGTCCACTTGCTAAAATCAATTCACGTACTTTCTTCAGGCAAAATAGTATCGACGTGTTTTATGGAAAGATCGCTGTGTTTTTTTCGTCTGCCTGTGACAACGAAATTGTTGAGGGATAAATTTTGGAATTTATTTCTACAAATTTTGAACAAAAGTGCCTTTCTCAAGGGCACGACATTAAGGCCTGTTTGGGATTCGAACACAAAACCTTTAGATTCTGCGTCAACAACTCTAACCATCAGACCTGCGATAATTACCAACTATTTGATAACTATTATTGCCAGGGCAACATAACATAACAGAGCGGTGCAGTCTCCCCAGTAACCAATTAAGAACCCCGTAATCTGGCGTCGTGCCTGCCACAGCGCCCGGTAACCATGCTGGGAACGTTAAAGGCATCTAGTGCCGACTTCTCAAAGCCGATATTTTAGTCATTTATCTACATACTGAGTTGAAACCACACTATTCCAATGTATACTGACCCTCATGGACCAAAAACACCCGAAATTCGGACGGAAAATGGTTACTGGAAGGACCCTGGGCTGATTTTTTAGGGTGCCGCCCGGAAAATAAAGGACTCATCTTGGGGCTTGTTTCTGCAGTTTTAAATGCCTAAAGTATGAAATGATGATTTAAATGTTCTAATGTGAAGCAGTACAAATGTTTGTGTCAATATCACATAGATTGCCTTACTCAGAATATTTCCAAATTTACTTCCCTGAAATCGCATTGGATGCCTTTAATAACGCCTGGGATTAAAGATGTCACTTCTTTTGCAAACCCCACGCGTGTCTGCGGGTTTTAAGTTCTGGCTTTTAATGTTGGGCTTAAATTTTGCACTGATGACTTATGATTCCTTGTATTGGATCAGAAAAGTTTGAATTTGAATCATTCAAAATAGGGGAAAAAAAAACGTTCCACTGCAGTACCAAGGAAAGACGCCAGGGGGTCCAAAATCTTATCATTTCTTTCTTAGGCCAAGACCTCACCACATACCAAATGGCATAACAGTTAATGTGAATCTTTTTTAATTATGTTACGTGTTATTCAACCACATAGCCATAAGCACTACCGAAAAAAAGAAAACATTCCTGGCAATACCACAGTAACGTATAACCTCCCCTTCATGGCAGATATGAAAAATTCAAAGAACACATATCAGGCATTTGATAAGCCAAGATCCAATTACTTAGAGGGACTCCTGTATTCATCGCACGCTAAACCTTCATAATCTTCCATCGAGCCTTCATCTGACCGTCCCAGAAGGCAGGGCTATCATACATGTACCAGGACAGTGGCGAGCCAACTGTGATTGGCGTTGACTACTTTCAACGTATCGGTCTTTTATCTTAAAGACATCCAACTAGTGCAATATCAGGTCGGCAAAGATGGATTTTCAAAGTCAATTTTCTGGTCATTCAAGTTGAATTAAACCTATCCCATAGCATACTGATATCTGTGAGGCAAACATGCGATATCTCTGACGGAAAACGGTTGTTTGTTTTGTATCGGTTGAGTTCTAGCTATTTATGGGTGTTTTTTTTTAAAGATCTACGATTTTTAGCTTCATCTTGTGCGAGCAAGGGAGCATAAGTACGGACATTTAAAAACTGTTATATACCAGGTGAAGTAACTAACATTGGAATTAATAAACAACAAAATTAATTGCCCAAAAAAATGAAGCGACGCCTCACGTAGCTTGCTTTTGTGTGCGCCAGGGCGGTGGCCGATTTTTTTAATGAAGACAGGTCTTTTTGTAGATTAAAAAAACTGGTTCCGTTTTGACAAAAACTGGGTCACGAATTCCATTATTGCTGATAAAAGTGACCATTTCCGAAGCTTTGAAGGCGATGGAAGCGAAATGTGCCGTTTCACATACCTTTGAATGACAGCTAGAGTCATTTTGCTAATCATTTTGCTAATTATCGGTACAGCTTAAGTGAGCCCTTGTGCCATATGGCTAGCCTCCATAGCATGCCAAAAACTGGGTATTTTGGGGGTCTTCATGGTCTTTGGGAGCTTTTATTTGCTATTTTCTGATTGCATATAGACAACATAGCAGGCCTGGTTGAATTACCCCCGTTTAGAACTGGGCTAATCAGAAAACAGCCGAAGACCACCAAACCCCCAGTTCTATAAGCCTGCTACAGAGGCTACCATATGGCACGGAAGCGATGGAGTTACGAAACCAGATAGCTAGAGTCTATCAGGATCCTTGAACAGATATCATTAATAGTTTTAGAAAACTCCAACGGGCGAAAAAAAAGCGGTGAAATATAGATGTAAAACTGGCCGCGAAGCGCGGAAATGGGGTTGTGAATTTTTCAGATTGTTTCAGACGGAGATCTGCGATGTCGTCAGCGTCTACTGGAGACGCGCGACGCCGTGTTCGGGTTAATGTGGTGGAAATGAACGTCTATCGATTCAACAAGAATGTGCTTTTGTATGAATACATCCGCGGGATTGTATGATATCTAGGCCGCGTCATGTGTCAAGAGAAGTGCGGCAATGTGTCATCGTATTAACCTGGTAGTTGCTTCTTTCGAGCTGGTGCAGTGATCGAAAACAGGACAAAAGCGCAGAAGGACGGACCGTCCATCGCCCGTCTTTGGCGGACAATTTTCGCTTCCACTACCGAGGGCAAACACCTAGTAGTTGTAGAATGATTGAACAAGAGAAGAAGACTGCTTCTTCCTGTCCGTTAAGTCCTAATATCCATCAGAAGGCTAAACGATTGGAAACACTTCACTTTGCCCGTTCCGATCCCCGTTTTCTAGTGCGACGGCAGATCGACAAGACCAGATAGATGGCATCATACAAAAAAAGAGATGCAGGCAGAACTCCAACCTTCATCCATACGCGTTTTAGAGCAATATTGAAGACAAGATACCCCGAGACAAGAAAGATACAAGAAGAACTCTATCCTTCACCCGTTCGCGTTTTATAGCTAGCAAGAGACGACAAGATTTCCCGAGCCAATACAAAAAGATACAACAAGAACTCTAACCTTCATCCATAAGCGTTTTAGAGCAGGACAAAATTTCATCAGACAAGAAAAGAAAAAAGAAACCCGGGGGCAGAAGTCTTACCTTCGTTTTATGGCAATATTGACAAGACAAGATGTTTTGAGACAAAGAAAGATACCAACAGAACTCATCATTTGCCCATTTGCGTTTAACAGAAATCCCGCAGAGAACACAAGATTTCCCAATAAAAAAAGATAAACTCTAACCTTCATCTATAAGCGTTTTACAGCAGGACAAGATTTCATTAGACAGAGAAAAAGAAATCCGGGCGCAGAAGTCTTACCTTCATGATACGCGCTTCATAGCAATATTGAAGACAAGACAAGATGTTCTGAGCCAATAAAAAAGATAGAACAAGAACTCTATCCTTCGAGCCAACAAAAAAAAGATACAAGAACTCTAACCTTCATCCTAAAGCAGGACAAGATTTCATCAGACACAAAAAGAATCCTGGCGCAGAAGTCTTCTTATCGATACGCGTTTTATGGCAAAATTGAAGACAAAATTGAAGATGTTTTGAGACAAAGAAAGATACCAGCAGGTGTCTATCCTTCACCCGTTTGCTTTTCAAGAGACGACAAGATTTCATCAGACAAAAAAAGAAAACCTGGCGCAGAAGTCTTCTTACCTTCATGGTAGCGCGGTGCTCTCTCTCCGGCAGTCCGCAGCAGAATGAGGTGTGTGCACACCTGGCCGGGCAGATATCCCTTCCGCCGGCGCGGGCTCAGGTCCGGCCGTGACGACACTAGCGCGTCAGGGGACGGCCCCGCGAGCGCGCGCAGCCCCACAGGTGGCTTCTCCGGGGGCAATTCTACAGCTCATCAGCCGCTGCAGCGGTAATTCCAGCTCTCATCAACGGCCAATTAATTCTCCGACTGACACGTTATTTCCTCCTTTTGAAACGAGCGAATGACATCCGCGCCGGGGAGCCTGTGTGACCTCCGACCTCACGCGTTACCTATGGGATGGCGGGAGTTTGTAGCCGGGGAGTGAGGCAGCCGCAGGCAAGTTCGGTCTTAAGAAACAAAGAAACGGAACTTGACTGATATCGCGGGAAGACGTTTGGTGAAAGAATAATACGTCGGATGAATTTTCCTCGCTTGAGAAGAAAAGGTCAAAGCACGTAACTCGTTCATCACGGGAACTAAGTTCGGGCGCCGCTGACGAAACTAAGGGTCACAACATTTACCAACAGTTTGATAAATCGTACATAATTCTCTCCTCCCCCGTCCGAATTGCTGTTATAAACTCCCGGTCATTTGATCCGGAATGCTTACATTCAATCGACTCATTTTACGCTTGGCTGATGTGAATCTGTCTTCTTTAATTGTTCCCAAAGGACAGCGGATTTGAGAAGAATGTGCAGCGATATGGATCTACAATCAATACCATAGATTTAGCTATTTTCGTCAGTTTGTGTGTTATTCCTTCTGGGGACTTTAAGAGCTCGGCTCAACTATGAAAGAGGTGCTAGTGTCACGGAAATGAAAAGTAACCTACAGCGGGTGTCACTGGAATACAGAAGAAAGATGTCCATATTATGCATGATGTACAAAATGACGAATAAACTGGTGGACGTCCCAATTGCTATGTACCTAATACCAGCCCAGAAGAGAACAAGGAATAGCCATGCCTTTTCTGGAATTCGCTGTCACCAAGCACAGTAGGGGCATTATCATTAGATAGCTTTAAAAAATGTCTAAAGTTAGATGTTTTAGTTAGTTTCAGTTTTATTGCAGTCAACTTGCCTGTACAAATAAATTTGTGCCATGAAATACGTTGACAGTTACATCAAAATGCAGTAAAAACACTGGGCTCTCAGGAACACGATTTAAAACGGTACATTATTATATTAAAAACGGACATTGTTGTACATATATAAAAACAGCTAAAAAGCGAACAAATATAAACAGCAAGTACAAAGTATATCAGTTCTCATCGCTTAGCTCATGTTGTACAGCTTAATGGCTCTGGGGAAGAATGACTGTTCATGTCTCTTAGTACGGCTACGTGAAGTCATGACATGTCTAACTCGTCGGAGGTCATAGCCACTACGCAATGGACAGGATATAAAACAGTTCAGTGGGTTATCCTTATCATCTAGGATACTCCGGAAGACACGTAGTGTTGCCTGGTCACGCCTGGACGCCAAGGTAGGTAAGGAGTTCGTAGGGATGCCCATGATTCTGCAGCAGCGCTTTTGTACTCCTTCGAGAATGTGAGTCAGACGAATGGGCAGTCCTCCCCATACAGGACTAGCGTATTCCAAGATCGGGCGGATGAAAGACAGATATATCTGAGTGAGTACTGAGATGTTTAAGGGTTAGGTGCAACAAGTCGATCGGCGTAATGTAGCCAGCTGCCGCCGCGCCGCGTGCCTGTGAAGCTAGCGTGTTACGCCGAAAGGCGGTTATACCGACTATATAAATACAGATACAGCTATATTTCTTCACACGTTGAAGCCTGTTGTATAGGCTGAACGGTGGGAATTTTAACTGTGCCGCAGGGAGACATTGAGAGAACCCGATTTGTAATCGGACGTGGTCTCTACCAGACCATAATAGGAAATAGTAAAAATTGGCCAAATCGACAGAACAACATGCTAGTGTAGTTAACCGACCACAGGAGCACACTCTGTGGGCTACAAGGTGTACTCCAATCGCCGACTAACTACCCCGGCATGTTGTTCAGTCCATTTGGCCAATTTCTGACATTTTCCAGCAACACTTTGAAGTCTTTTAGAGACTAACCGGGGGTCCGTGAGTGCGTCGTGTTTGTATATTGATAGTATCCTTGAGTTGTCACTGGAGGTTTCTTATGATCTCAAAGCAGATCTTTTGGTGGCAAAGTCGTAACTTAGGCCACGGCAAGTAATTTTTATGGAAGACATCAGCGCGCGCATTGATTTTCGCCTGATTTTGGAAAAAAAATAACAAGATATTTTGTTGCTCTCTGACAGTGGTTAACATGCCGAAAATGGGCAAAGATGTCTGTTGCCATGCCGGAATGTAGATGGCAGATAAATATGAAGAGAGGAGACAAGACATGGCTGTGATTTATTGTTTTGTCTTTTACTTTGATTCAAGATATTGGCTACTGCCTTACGTCTTTGGCTACCGAGAGAGCTAGCTGCTCGGAGACTCACATTTTGGACCACACAGCAGCCATGTGCCTAGAGACGACTCCCAACGCGCGAAGCATATTCACTGCAGAGCCAGAGTATAACCTTCACATTCAGACTCCTTGTCTTGCTGTAAACTAGAATGTCCTTGCTGTAAACTAGTAAAAATTGGCTGAATACGGAGACAGAGGTCGCCCCAGAGGTAGTTACCCAACCAACCGCTGGGCTAGTTCTTTTCTTTAGGCAGTTTCACGGCAGCCCTGTACGTTCTATTGGTTAGCCTCCGTAGCAGGCTTATAGAACTGGGGGTTTGGTGGTCTTCGGCTGTTTTCTGATTAGCCCAGTTCTAAAAACTGGGGTAATTCAACCAGGCCGACTATGTTGTCTATATGCAATCAGAAAATAGCACATAAAAGCTCCCAAAGACCCTGAAGACCCCCCCCCACCCACACACACACAGTTTTTGGCATTCTATGGAGGCTATCTATTGGTATGCTTGGTTCGGCCTGAAACATTTTTCAAGGAGCTCGCAGCACATGAAAAGGGCAGCTCGTACGTAAGAGAGATGTACACAGAGACAGGTAGTTGGCGCTGGCTGCGTTAACCCATGCTCGTGAGCGATAAGGGTGTGGTGTTGGTTTGATCCCGTTCTCTCTTGTTACCAGGGGGTCACGCCCTCTACACCTGAGGCAGGAGGGGGAATTAATTGCCTGGGAGAGGCTTTGTTGACGCGCTAATCCTAGCCTCCACCAGACTCCTTTGCGGGCTGAATAAATAGTAGAAATCGGCCTAAAAAGGGGGATTTAATTGGCCAGAGGAGTTGGCCGGCCAGAGAGGGTTCGTGCAGGCAATTGGACCCTCTCATGCCGGCCAACTCCTCTGGCCAATTAAATCCCCCTTTTTGGCCGATTTCTACTATTTATTCAGCCTGCAAAGGAGTCTGGTGGAGACTACGCTAATCCGCAGGATCCAGCTAATTAGCCGGGCCTGGCCGAGCGGGGGGTCGGGAAACGAGCTGGGACTGTAACCTCTAACCCAGGCTTTTCAGGAAATAGGCTAGAGCTGGGACTGTAGCCTCTAACTCATACCCTCCCAGCAGAGGTAAGAGAGCCAACCCGTAAAAAAAGTGCAAAAAAAGCGATAAAAAACACTCCAGAAATAAGCCAAAACCCAAACCTCTGCTTGGAGAGTATCTAACTTAGACTTTACAGGAAATAGGGTAAAGCTAGGCTGTAACCTCCAGCTCAAGCATATTACTAGTATGCAGTTTACTTTGCCAAATTAAAACGGACAGATAAGTGTGTATTTTAACGCAGTATGAGAGCTTATTCCAGGTTCGTTGACTGAGGAAAGAATTCAGCACCAAGGACAGAGCCGGTATGAAACCACGGTTATGGCGCGGTCCCGTACGTTGCACGATCGTCATACTATAAGTATCAGTATAACCGCCCTTCGGCGTAACACACCAGCTTCGCAGGCACGCGGCGCGGCGGCAGCTGGCTATATTACACCGAACGACTTGTTACACCTAAACCCTTGAACATCTAACTCCAAACATTGTTTAAAGCTATCTACTGACAATGTCCCTACTGTAATGTCATCGGTGAGCTCTATGCATGCTTCGCTGACATGTAGTGAACCAAGCAGCGCTTGCAACGCTGGGGAACAGAGAATTAATCAGACTATGGTTTGATGAGTTCCCTGGAAATGTTACCAGTCAGACTGAGCACAGCAGAGCGCCGCTGCCCCGCTGATACTGACCGGACGCGACGTGGCTTTGACCAAAACAGTTCTATGAAATACTTGGCTAGAGCGACGCTTCATCTTTTACGACATGAATGTCATTTTCACCATGATTGACTTCGGTTCTCTTCTCGTCGCCTCCCCACTGATACTGACCGGACACGGCGTGGCTTCAGGTCTGCATCCAGAGTCACGTCAGGACCCCGGTGTGCTCAGGACGGGGTGAAGGACGACAACATATGCCATTTATCTATCATGGCTCAGATATGAAGACAACCCAAAACACTATGTTCTAACGTTACATATATTTACCACCCTAGAACAAACAAGACGTATACAATACAAGTCTTTTTTTTTTCTAGAAAACTTACAACACTGCAGCTAATCATAAACTGTACTGACTGCTTTACTGATTACTTACTTTAATAGTTAATTATGTAATCACAACCTGTGAAGAAAAATGGTAAACAAGGACTTCACTATCAGCGGAAATGATAAGGAAAGACAAGTTTGATCATGGAAACTTGGTTAAGTGACCTGTGTATGATTCCAAATTGCCTCATGTTCTATTTAGGTCCAATTAAATATGTCGTAGATCCCCCCGGCAAATTTACACCATGTAACATTGCAATAGCTCAATTGGTAGAGTGCTCGCTTTGTAACCGGGAGGTCGTGAGTTCAAACCCCGGCCGGGTCATACCAAAGACTTTAAAAATGGTACACACTTCTTTCTCTGCTTAGCACTCAGCATATATGAGAAAGAGTGTGGGAAGGTCAAACACACAGCACTACCAGCGGACTAGCCCCCTGCTGTAGTGCATTGCACAACTGTGTGTCGCCCAAGGGCTACAGAAATGGATACGGGCACCACCCTACGCTCTGGATAAGGGCACGGGAGACCTTTCCTTTTTTTAATATTGCCATGAACCTATTAATCGAGCAAGTATTGGTTAAGATCGGGGTAATACCCAAGAGTACCCTTTCTGTGACCTACTATACCCAAGAGTATCACCCTGCCGCGGCTACGTTTTCATACCCCAACGATATACTCGTATCAGAGAAACCTTCATGATTAAATTAAATTAAATGCACCATTAAGATTTGGCGCCGCATCACTCATCTAAGGAGTGCAGATGGCACGAGTCATCGGAGACCCGGCAACAAACAATGGTGAACTTCATGCAAACTGTGCTCCAAATCCCCACAGGGAGGGGTCTCAACTCCTGCAAGATCCTGATAAATCTGGCTGATCCATTTTGTCGGTTATTTTGCGTTATCACGGCAACATTCGTCAAAATGGAACAAAGGAACTCCGGAGAGACCTACGATGCTCCCTGGATATGCAAACTGCTGAGGTGCCATAAAAGATAATTAGGAATCAGCATCAATTTCAGTTTCAATTCTTTATTTGGATACCAAACATAACAGACAAACGTGACATACAATGTTGCCTGAATGGCGTTGATATTTACAAGATAAAATGTAAAAAAATTATGTTCAGTAAGATAATTCTTTCAATCAGTGACTATTAATCCTAAGGTACATACCTCCGAATTTTCGACGACTAGTCAGTTCGTCTTGGTCACGGAATAATCCTAGTCTCGCAAGATCACGCGAGACTAGGACGAGACTTGCGTGGATCTTCTGCCCCCCTCTGCCTCCTTGCGGAGTAGAGGTAGGTAGGGCTTAGGCAGCTCCCAGCCTTCGTTGCGGTTCAGCTTGGCTCCCACTAGTTGGATGTGTATGGCCTCCTTAATCTTCCGATGTGCGTTGCGGGCTTCCTGGTCGATAATTTCGATCGTGTCTAGTATAGGTTGGGTGGTGACCCTATGTCCAGTCTGTAACTGGTGTTGACTAAGTGCAGACTTGTAGTCCTTACGGTCAATCGACTTCTGATGTTCACTTGACCTTTCCCCCAGCGATCTCTCTGTTTCTCCCACATACGTCTCACCGCAGTGTTCGCAGACAAATTATAAATGACACCACACTTTTCACTCGGATCTAAAGGATCTTTCGGGCTCACCAGGGCATTCCGTAGGGTGTAGCCTGGTTTTGAAACAGGCTAACGTTGTGTTTGGCAAACACTCGTTTCAGTCTTTCTGTAGTCCCTTTAATGTAAGGGAGTACAGCAAAGCTGGAGGGAGTTTGTCCCCTGTCTCCACGCTGTGTGTCCTTGTGGTTCCTCTGCTGTGTTTTTCTGGTGTCACCTTCTCTAAGGGCCCAGTCCGGATAGCCGCAGTGACGGAGTGCGTTCCTCACTTTCCCTTTCTCTACTTCTCTCAGGGTGCGGTCCTGAATGAGAGTGTCTGCCCTGTGCATTAAGGTTTTAACAATGCCGAGTTTCTGCTGGACGGGGTGGTTGGAGGACCACTGTAGGTAGTGGTCTGTGTGTGTCTCCTTCCGGTAGACATCCGTGGTGATGGTACGGTCCTGGTTCTTAATCAACATCACATCTAACATGGGGAGGCGACCATCTTGTTCTCTCTCCATCGTAAACTTAATACTGTCGTGTTGTTGGTTAATGTGTTCAAAGAGTTCTTGCTCATGTGCTTGCTGGTTGACTATCCCAGTGTCATCCACGTACCTACCCCAAAACTTGGGGCGGTGTGGGGCTGTGTCCAGGGCTTTCCGTTCAAATTCTTCCATGAACAAATTGGCAAGCACGGGGGATAGCGGGGAGCCCATTGCCATACCATACGTTTGTTCGTAAATCATGCTGTTGTACTGGAAGTATGTGGTGCTCACAACCAACAGGAGGAGATCCCCAAATTCCTCAGGAGTGAGCAGGGTACGACTCTTCCAGCTAGGGTCCTCCTCAGCCCTCTTAACCGCCATCTGAACCACCTCTTTCCCCGGGACACTGGTAAATAGGGCTGTGACATCAAAAGAGGTCAAGACATCCCCATCCTCCAACTTAACTTGTTGGATTTTGGTGACCAGGTCCTTAGAGTTATTGATGTGTTCTGCAGTCTGTCCCACTAAGGGCTTAAGGAGGTCTGCTAGGTGCCTTGCAAGATGGTAAGTAATAGAGTTGATGCCCGACACAATAGGTCTCAACCTAAGTGGATCTTTGTGGATTTTTGGTGTGGCATAGAACCTAGGGGTGGCATCTGAAGTGGGGTAAATCTTGTCATATACTTTTGGGTCAAGATGTCCTGCCTTCTTTATCTCCCTCAACTTCCTCTGTAATCTGCCCTTGAGTTTCTTGGTGGGATTCGTGGGCCCGATAACTTTGTAGGTATTCTTGTCATCGAGCAGTTTCTCACATTGTGCTACATATTCTGTTCTGTCCATGACTACAACAGCCTTACCTTTATCGGCAGGGAGGATGACGATGTCCTTGTTACCTTTCAGTGACTTGATGGCACGTTTCTCCTCCTTGGTAAGGTTAGGCTTCGGGGGTTTGGCATTCTGCAGAATGCCTACTACCTCGTTCCTCAGTAGCGATGCCTCCTCTTGGTCAAGTTTCTGGCAAGCGACCTCGGTGGCTGTGACGATCTCCTTGACGGGGATCGTGTCGGGGGTAACCGCAAAGTCTCGTCCTAGTCTCGCGTGATCTTGCGAGACTAGGATTATTCCGTGACCAAGACGAACTGACTAGTCGTCGAAAATTCGGAGGTATGTACCTTAGGATTAATAGTCACTGATTGAAAGAATTATCTTACTGAACTTACACTATACGTGACTGATGAATCTCTTCAATAAAAAAATTATATATTTACAACAACTATAAAAACAGTACAGTAAGTGTACAACCCAGATATTTACAAGGTCCATTATCTTCTGCCAGACTCTATCTGTACAATCCGGTTATAGAGTCTGATTGACTGGTGAAGGAAAGAGTTCTGTAGTCTTTTTGTTCTGGCGGGGGGGATAGAGATAGCGTTTTTGTTCCTGAGAGAACGACCGGGAGCTGTAGATCTGAAGAGAGGGACAAGGTCATGTAAGGGATGGAATCAGTAAGATTGCAATACGTTAGAGGTAATTCTGATGATCTTAAGATTGATATATATATGTACAGAGAGGCGAGAAGTTGACTCTACTACGTTAGCTTGGTACAACACTTTTGTCTACTATGATACTTATGTTCAACTCGTGTATCGTAGTATGTGCTTTGCTATATTTCTTTGTTATACGAGCACAAGTATGTTTACTGGGTCGTACGATAGACATGTACGTAGCCCTTGGAGGCATGAATGTACAGTAAAAGTTGAGGGGATCTATCGTAGAGTGGAACTTGCTGCCACCAAGTACAGTTGGGGCATTATCACCAGATAGCTTTAAACAACTCCTGCAGTTAGATGTGCAAAGGTTGTGTGTAACAGGTCGTTCGGTGTAATAAAGCCAGCTGCCGCCACGCCGCGTGCTTGCGAAGCTGGTGCACTGGTGTTACGCAGACACAGAATTTAAAATCTCTGACTCCCGCAAAGCTGCCCAGTAGAACTTGCCTTGTCCCGATGTATCAGGAAAGATCCTGCCCCAGGTGTCCCCTGATGGCCCTACTTGTTAGGCCATGTTGATTTGATTATATGGATGACATCCGCGCGAGCATGAATTTTCGGCCGTTTCCAAAAAAAAAAGTTTTCAACCATACTGTAAATCGTACAAAACAGTTGCAAAATGAGCAAAAATATACCATAAAATAATAAAAACTATACCAATGTCGTAGAATGCCAAAATCAAACGAAAAAAGACGAAATTGTAAAGAAATGAACTTGAAGACTAGATTATTCGCCAAACCATATTCTGTGCCATTTGCTCAACCCTCATGACCACGTAGATTTCATAATGAAAAGAACTTTGTTTTTGCAAAACTTTTTTTTTATTCGCACGCGCGCATCAGTTTTGGGGCTCCCGGAGGATGTCATCCATATAGTCAAATCAACATGGCCTTACAGAAGACTTGCCTACGCTAAACGCGTCCTTCCTCTTGTCCTGACGTATGACGCATGTTAGGACATACCCACGCACGCGCCAACATACTAGAACATAATCAATGTGTCACGTTAATGGACGATTAATGTCCTGTGTTCTACCGACCATTAAAACGGGTTCCTGATTATCCTTGGTACATTAGCTGGCGATAGGAAGCCATCAACTGAGATTACTGCTTAGATGCACACAAGTAGACAGGCATTGTCTTTGTGTTAGCTTTTTGTACTAGTTTAAAACAAATCTTTGTAACTATCAGTGTACTTCTGAGCTACGTGTATATAAAAAAGATTCTAAAAATGATACTGCTTTGATAATAGGCAGGGCTTTTCTTTTGTGTTAGCTCCCTGTTTTTTTTTTTTGGATTTAAAACAAAGCTTTACGTCAACTGTACATGGTCTGTACGCCACTTACTACTATAGTTAAAATTGATACTTTTAGCTGGCGAGAGGAAGCCATCAACTGAGATTACAGCTTAGATGCACAGGGAGACAGGCATTGTCTTTGTGTTAATTCTCTTGTCCTTGTTTTTGCGGCTTCAAAAAAATCTTCATAGCAGCTAGTAACGTTATATATACTTCTGACATATACGTGTATCTGTTTCAGGTTTCTCTGCGCTTAAAACTGATGCTTTTTAGCCGATTATAGCTTTCTGAACAGGGAAGCAGGATTATTCTTTTGTGTTAGCTCCCTGTTCTTGTTTTTGGGATTTAAAAAAAAGCCTTTACGTCAACTGTATATGGTCTGTACGTCAAACGGGTACTGTAATTCCTGATTTTTCCACTGTACTGTCATGTTCACTGTTTTCACTGTCACTTCCGTTTCGTGAACTTAACATTACAGTTAACAAATAATTCCTAGACTTTCTTTTTCCTGCACCTGTCGCCCCTACCTTTGTGTCTGTATACCGCGTTTGTGTGTGTGTTGTATACAGCCCGTTTAGGCTGAAATGTACAATAACGGATATCATTCGGGCTCTTTTACGGTCATGATTTAATGCTAATAAAAACTGCGCCCTCGGTCCAATAGATTCTGTCATACGAGCTGTTTGTTTTCAGAAGTTCGTAGGTCGAGAAATTGTATCACTGTCCCGTTTTCTATGAATTACAGATTTATATTAGCTCTGAAGCACTTCTTATGTAACATTTAGCCTTTAGTGTGCCTCACTGATATTTGTCTTTTCAATACAACTATGAACAAAAATAGTTACATATGGCTGGTTTATAGACATACAATACATGATACAGCAAATTGGAAGCTGTTTTTTTAAGCTTGTACAGCTTGTACAATTACTAGTCAACTAGTGTACACACAAATAAAAATGTATTGCACAGCATATATATAACATCACCAAAGCACTACACTAAATACAGATTTTAAAATTTACAACAATTACATTACTTAATAATAAGAATAGGATAATATTACATAGTAGACAAATATGATAAAACATAATAGTTCTATGAAATACTGGGATAGAGCGACGCTTCATCTTTTACGACATGGATGTCATTAATTTTCACCATGATTGACTTCCTTTCTCTTTGACGCCTGGTGCTTCTTTAACTGGATTATCCGTCCTCCAGTCCACAAAATCAATCAATTCTCACTCAGAAGACTGACAAAATTCTCTTCACTTGATCGATCAAGCTGGAATCTGAAGTCTAGAGGCGCCGATGGAACTTGAGAAGCTGCGATTGCTAATGGGTTATAGTCCTTCGAGTCAGTCACCAGAAAGTGTCAGGTCTGACACACGAGAAACAAACTACGTCGTTGAAGGTTAGACACTCAGGTAATAAACAAGATACGCCCAGAAAAACAGTGTCTCAAATAACTGGATTATGATTTTGAAAACGGTCAGACGTTTCAGGTAACATCCACTACCTTTCGTCCCAGACGTTATTTCTCACGACAGCACGCAGTATTCCCCGAGACTGTCTGCAGCACTTACTCCGCACAACTTGGCAGATATGAACGGGGGCGGCGCTAGGATTAATAAAGAACCGGGATTACATATCTCCTGACTTTGACAGATGACACCACTTACTGGCTTACTCCGGGGGATCAGCACAAGTCCTGCATAGGAATTGCCAAACAGGATCCGTAACGGTCGCGGTGTCCCATGTTAGAGAGATGTTACGACTAAAACGTTTAATGGGTTGCGGCACTACCTGACTTGGAACCCGGGCTCGGTGTCACAATAGGAATGTTTAAGGCCATGTCGATTTCATTATATGGATCATCATACTGTAAACCATAGAAAACAGCTGCAAAATGAGCAAATGTATACCGTAAGTTGGAAAAAATATTGGAAAACGATACCAATTAAAGGTGTAAAGAAATGAATTTGAAGAGAAGATTATTCGCCATAGCATACTCTGTGTCATTCATTTTGTGCAACCTTCATGACCACGTAGATTTCATAAATAAATGAAGGCACCTCATTTTGTCAAACCTTTTTTTATTCGCAGGCTGGTATCAGTTTTGGGGTTCCCAGTCGATGTCATCCATATAATCAAATCAACGTGGCCTAACTTTGAAATAAAATAGAATCACCCATTTGCTGTAAGCGCGTTTCTAAGAAGACGGGTTACAGTGTAGTGTGTGTAGTGTAGTTTATCACAAAATCTATGACACCTGACCTTTTTGGATAACAGTACATTTTCTTTTCTGAAAAGAATTAAGGCTAAATACATTTTAACTACTCTCTTCTATGACCCTCGTGCTGAAATGTCCTCCACTATAGTCTACCACCTTTAGGGAAATTACGAGGTAGTAGCTAACTGTAACGTTTATTCCACAGTGTTGCTACCAGTCTAATTTAGAGTGGATTTTCGTTTCTTGCGCAATTCTTTTTTTTAAATTCCAACATTTGATGACTGGACATGGTGACAGCACACTCAAGTTATATCAACTTATTTTATGCGGCCACCAACACAAAGGACGAATACAGGACAGGAAAATACTCATTTTCACTTGAGTTAAGTGAGGAAAGTCGTGTAAAGTGCCTTTCCCAAGGGCACAAGATCGGTGGCATGTCAGGACTCGAACCTGGGACCTTGGTTTTTTTTGTGCCACTCAAAAAGATTTTGCCTGAATGCCCCGACCTTCTGACAGGTATAGCTATCAACGCGCCGTAATAGTTTACAACAAGCGGCACAGGCTTATCTTAAACAACTCCTTCCCTTTCTCTCCTTTCTGTAGATGTTGCCCAAACACCGCGCTGATTTTTGCCCCCACCCATAGTAACCTTTGTCCCAAAACTGTCGGCCTTTTCCAAAGCCGTGCCGTGAGTTTACACACGGTGACGTAGCGAGCCGGGCGACCCAAAATGTAATCTGATTTCTCTCACAATGCTTGTTTACCGTCCCAGCTGTCAGGTTGGTAAAGGTAAGGCGGACTGTTGACCCAACTCCGCACACACGGCTCTGTAAGAGGCACGCAGCGGTCTTCAATTTCGTCTTAGGGAACAGATCGGAGGACAATTACCGACAGGTTATCGCTGCTAATCTGAAGGTTTTATAGTGGTTATTTGCCCATGCCTCCCACGACGGGACCTGTGAAGGCTCGGACACATCGTCGTACGACGAGGGCATTCTTGGGATTGTCCTACGTGTGTCGTACCTGTCCTGTTACGGAAAAGGCTATCTTGGATCCTTGTCGATGGTTATTTCTGTCACTCTTGTAGCTGTGGCACGTCGTCTTACGACGGCATTCTTGGGATTGTCCTACGTGTGTCGTACAAGTGTGTCGTTAAGCTGTCTTGTCGAGAAAAAGGCTGACTGCCTGAAAAAAATAATCTACGGCATCAGAATCATCCGACGACCTACTACTACGAATGTGACCGCACCGTAACAAACTTCCAGCTCACACCAAACGGGACTCTACAGAGGGTACACGTCGGCCCTGGCGTTGACCGCATAACTACAGGTAAGAGTAAAGTATATAGACTGAGTTCGTGATGTTTTGTTTGAGCGCCCCGACTTTGAAGTTCACCTGTTGCACACGCCGTTGCTCACGAACCAACATTTAGCAAATTAAAAGTACAGACATGACTGCGAAAGGGCAAATGTCTGCAAAACTTAGCCTCCGTAGCAGGCTTGTAGAACTGGGGGTTTGGTGGTCGTCGGCTGTTTTCTGATTAGCCCAGTTCAAAAAACGGGGGGAATTCAACCAGGCCGGCTATGTTGTCCATATGCAATCAGAAAATAGCACATAAAAGCTCCCAAAGACCCTGAGGACCCCCAAAACCCCCAGTTTTTTTTGCATGCTATGGAGACTATGCAAACCTTTGGTCACCGCCAGCAGAATTAACTGAGCGGGTTCAGCCTTTCCATGTGTCAAAACACACCTTAATCTGGATCCAGCGACGTTAATCTTTAATCGTGCGTGAGGAGTTTATATCAGAATTGACACGAGCATGATCCAGTGTTTGGTTCGTGACGTTTGGTGCCGTACCCTGTCTCAACAAGGTGCAAAGTGATCCCTATTGTTGTTGTAAACTTGTCGATTAAGGCCGGTAACGCCAGCGAAGTGTGTTTGTTGAGCAATGCTTGTTTTGTGTCGCACTGTAACTGTTATGGCCGTCCTGGCTAATCCTTGAGCAGATATTGGAGCAGAAGGTCGTAACATTTTCTGACTGCTTGGCTTCTCTGGTACTCTCCAAGCAGAGGTTGATGGTGGAAGATCGTTTGCTTGTTATATATGGCCTTTTTTGTCACTACCACCACCACTTGCGTGGGGAAATGGTTACAGACTGGCCAATTTTATACTGTCTTACCCCCACCAAAAGATCTGCTTGGAGATTATTCTATGGTACTGTGGTGGTGTCGCGGAGAAGCTAGGTAGTCAATACACGTTACAGACTTTCACCCCAACGTCTGCTTGGAGATTTGTTCTAGTCCTGTACACCCTACGTCATTAGATACTACAAACGAGCATTCAAGTACGCGGCTAGTGTTCTCACGACAACAACACACTCTTAGATGGTCCACACGTTTTGTAGAGTTTCTATTTGTCTAGAACCAATGTCAGTAAACTCTCCAAACATATACCGTATGTATTTGTGAATTCGAGGGGATTCATTCTTCAGCTAACCGACATCTCGCACACGCAGTCGTCCCTCAGTAAGACATCTGGAGCCTCATAGTTCCTGTTTAGAACTTTTATTCAGCCTGTCACACATGTTATGTACTATGTTACTATACTTCATTAATAGTTGTAACTTGTGTCTGTCTTTTTAGGAGGCTACCTTTATCACTATACCACTGCAGAAAGATTGTACATTGGCGAGAAAAACTTCTTTCCTAACTTTACACCTTAAACTTATTAAGTGTTATGGTGGTCCTCGTAGAATATGTGATTCCAATGTGTTGTTACAGTATGTTATGTTCTAATTTTCTTTCCATTATCCCTCAGGTATGACTATTTGACGTCTGCTCTTACTGTCAAACATGGCATCACGGCCAGGTACCCCGCGCGGCCACACGTCCCGACCAGGTACACCGCGAGGTCACACGTCCAGACCAGGTATGTAACATTGGCCGGATGGGGGGTTTATAGGTGCTACCAACTGACTCGACCTTTTGACTGGTGCTCGGGAGGTCGTGGGTTCGAACCCAGGCCCGGGACCAGGGGTTTTTATCTGTTTCTACTGGCTCCTCCCGTTTCTTACAGTGGTTCCTACACCGGCCCTGGGAGTTCTGGCAAAGAGTGTCGCTCCAGGGATGTCGAATTCGGAAGATTCGAAGACGAATCGAAAAGAAAAGGGGGAGTACTTTAACAGTGGGGTGTTTATAGACGCTACCAACTGACCCGGCTGATGGGTGTAGACCTTTTAGCTGATTCGGTAGGAGCGTCGGATTTGAAACTGGTGCTCGGAAGGTCGTGGGTTCGAACCCCGGCCCGGGATTTTTATCTGTTTCTACTCGCTCCTCCTGTTTCTTACAGGCACACCTCACGGCCACACCTCCCCGTCTCCCCTCTCCATCCGACACTTCAACTCCACGGAAGAGTACATGTCGGTCATCCGGAACGGGCTCTCTGATTGGCTAAACTCCCTCTACGACTTGAACTTGACCCCGGACGACCTGGTCGAGTGCCTGAGCACGGGGGTGGTGCTGTGTCACCACGCCAACACGTGGGAGGTCTGTTTGTTTATTTGTTTGTTTGTTTGTTTATTTGCACAACAACAATAAAAAAAGTAATACATAATACACTAATGATAAATAAAACAGGTGCAGGAGGAGGCAAAAAGCTTATTTATCTTATGCTAAGCCCTCCTCCTCTATACTAACCAAAACTAAACATGATTGAATTGAAATAATACATACATAAGGAATTGTTATCAAAATAATTCAAACATGGGCAAAATGATACAATAACAATAATGAAACAATAGTATACATAAATTGATATGAAATGAAATTGATATGAAATAATGAAAAGTTTATTGCAAATTCGTGCCCGGAGGCTAATTGCAAATTACAAAACATAAAAGAACAATGAAATAGGATATAAAATAACTTAAGTCTACATGATAAAGGTACTGTCTAGAACTATAACTATGTCTAAAACTATGTCTGAAGGGTTTGACTTCTCTTCTGTAAATAGGTGGAGAGCGGGACGGACTACCGCGTCCACTTCTCCCCCCGAGCCACCCAGGGGTCGTTCCAGGCCAGAGACAACGTGTCCCTCTTCATAGACTGGTGCCGCCGCAGTCTGCAGTTCCCGGAGACGCTTCTATTCGAAACGAACGATCTAGTGGAGGGGAGAAACGAGCACAACTTCCTGGTGTGTCTGTTGGAAGTGGCGAGGACAGGCGCGCAGGTCTTTTATTTATTTATTTCAACTTTATTTACATATGTATTACATGTAAAACGGTTATGGGAAACATGATTGACCTTTCAACTCTTTGACCAAAATTAAGTGACAGTCTCTTTCTCTGTGACACAAAGATTTAAATGATCAAAGAAGTAACAAATCACTGGGTCACGTTCAGACAAAAAACAATACTAGTAATTGAAACAGCAATTGAGACAATAATTGAAACAACAATTGAACAATTGTTCATTCCTTGACAAAGACTGGAGTTTGGGTGAGTCCAATTAATTGTGTTGGAAATTGCAGTTTAAACTTGCTGCATAATAATTGAACAACAATTATTGCACAACAGGTTGGGCTGCCGGAACCCGTGTTCGACCTGCCCGAGATGTGCGTGGAAAAGTTCGCCACCGGCCCGCTGAGTACCATACAGTTGTCTTACACTGGCAAGAAGGTAAGTTATCATGAAAGTTCATCGGTGTTGATAGTTACATGTTTATAGTTAAAACGTTTGATCCAACACAGAAAGTTCTCTCACCTAGAGCTTTCGACCAGTCACTCTAGTCTTCCTCAGTAGACTGACCCAGTGAAGCTTGTCACGTGGCTTCTTTGAAGTGTGACGTCAACACTGGGTCAAAGGTATCTGGTATCTGGTAGCCCATCACCCTTCGCTGAACCCCGACGGGGGCCGACATCGTCTACAAGATGTCCTTGCACGGGGCATACTAGCTCGAAAAGATTTCGAAATCCGGGTGATTTAGCCAGTATTGATTTGACGTCACCGACAAATGAGCTAACTTTCCGTCCGAGACATGGCTCACTTAAAAAGAAATAAATGCTGTGACCTACACAGATAAGGTCAATACCGGATAAAGTACAGGAAACCCATGTATGCCGTAGGAATTTCCATTCATCCAACAATCTCTGCTGGTTTGTGGGGTTGTGTGGCGTAGGGGCAGAATGCTCGACTCGGAACCAAGAGGTCCTGAGTTCGAGACCTGACATGCCACCGATCTTGTGCCCTTGAGAAGACACTTTACACGAATTACCTCACTTCACTCAGGTGAAAAATGAGTGTTGTAATCCCAAGGGCACAATATCAGCGGCATGTCAGGACTCGAACCCGGGAGCTCTTGGTTCGATTCGAGCGACATGAGTTTCAGAATAGTTTAGAATAACTGTAAACATTTAACTTAACTTTAACACGTAACAAGGACTTAATGACTTTAGTGTACCCGTTCTGTCAGACTAATAACAGCGAAAGGCAATTACAGAGCGATTGGCAAGTTGTCGTTCTCCGGTATTATCCAATTAAGATACGGCTTTCACGTGGGATTAAAATAAATCTTGTACCTCGGAAAATAATCTTCTTTAATTCAGCCTCCAACATTTCTCATTGATATTAGCCATACTAACGTTAGTCCAAGATTAAGAACATTATAGACATACATCCTACATAATGTCTTTGATTAGTCCAACGTGAAAGAAGATAATAGCGTACACGCATTGAACCTTTCAACGTCCTAAAGTCTGCTCCCTTTGGGAGTTCTGTATCTGTATCTGTATAGTCGGTATAACCGCCCTTCGTAACACACCAGCTTCGCAGGCACGCGGCGCGGCGGTAGCTGGCTACATTACACCGATCGACTTGTTACACCTATCCCTTGAACATCTAACTCTAGACATTGTTTAAAGCTATCTAATGACAATGCCCCTCCTGTGCTTGGTGACAGCGAGTTCCACTCTGCGATAGTTCTAGAAACAAATGAATTCTTGAACACCCTAATCCTTGGTTGATAACTCTGGTGCTTGAAGGCATGGCTATTTCTTGTTCTCTTCTGGGTTGGTATTGGGTACTTAGTAATTGGACGTCCACCAGTTTATTCGTCATTTTGCACATCATGCATAGTCTGGACACTTTCTTCTGTCTTATAGTGACACCCACTGTAGGTTACTTTTCATTTCTGTGACACTAGCACCTCTTTTATAGTTTTCATACAGAATCTTGCAGCTTGATTCTGTAGCCTTTCCAGTTTATCACTGTACCTGTGTTGTGTTGGATATGATCGCTATCGTGTCGTGTAGGTTTAACACCTCAACTAGTCAACACTCGTCCTCGACCTCTTCTTTCACACCCGCCGAGTGAAAAGTTCAAACTGCGGAGCTATTGAATGTTATCAACGAAGTACAGAACTTCAAACAAACGCCTTTGTGAAACACACTGTACCTTTATTGACAAGGTATTGATTGCTGTGTAGGCACCATAACTCTTCAGAAGCTCGGGGGTAATAAATGTCATGTAGCCGCTCTTAAATTGCTCTTTTTCACCGCTCCAGTTCTCTTGACAATCGTTTCAGAAGTTTCTGTAGTTAAGACTTCGAAAGTATCATATCTTAGCCTCCTTCGCAGTCTTGTTGGGCGTCGGCGTTATTTTTTCTCTGAGCGACGCCAGTAATATGCCGCCGCGAGGGACGATTTGCTGCCGAGGGAGTTTTTGCCACGGAGAGAAGGTTTCGCGCTCCGCGAAGGAGGCTAATCATATCTGTGGTTTAAAAAAAAAGCTAGGTCCCGTTCCACTCTATGCAGAGCATAGGGGTGGTGCCCATCTCCATTTCCATAGCCCTTGGGCGACACACAGTTGTGCAGGGCACTACAGCAGGGGGCTAGTCCGCTGGTAGTGCTGTGTGTTTGACCAAGCGAGCACTCTACCAATTGAGCTATTGCACCGGTACTGGATCTATTGTACTGGTTTTAGGGTCATCAAAAATTGAAGCGATATTAATCGTAGTATCATTCATGTCATATCCACGTATTGCTATTATTGGACAACCTTTTTGCTCCCGAATTGTCTTCATTTCTGGGTATCGCAGACAAAAGCCTCAAACTTAACGACTTAACCGCGGCGTTTTCAGTGAGCTTTAGCTGTCTGGAGAGTAGAGACAATGAGAGATGACTACTGATGATTTGGATATGATATCAAGTGGGGTCGTGTGGTGTGTGGCGTAGCGGTAGTGTGTTCGGCTCAGGACCAAGAGGTCCCGGGTTCGAATGACATGGGTAGGTGAATCCTACCCATGTCACCTACCCATCTTGTGCCCTTGGGAAAGGCACTTAACATGACTTTCCTCACTTCACTCAGGTGGAAATGAGTACCTAGCTCCGGATAGGACGTTAAATGTACTACTAACAACATGTATGCACGGTGCGGACATCTTAACTCTCTAAAGTACGACATTAAATGTTGAATGTTATTAAAAGCAAACTTCTTCTCTCTGCCCAGGTCGCTCGGACAGAGCCCAAACACGACTCTGGAACGACTCGGCAAACTCCACCTGTTCACAAGAGAGGCGGAGAAAAGAACGGTCACCCATCGACGGACAAAACCGAGACTGATCGACCAATGACACGCCCACACCAGCGGGCTGTCTCCTCTGATGGGACACCAGCCGGAAATGACGTCTCCTCCCCCGACAAGGCGACCGGAAATAACGTCATGATGGTTGTCCGTGACTCCCGCGGTAAGTCAAGTCAAATCAATCCTTATTGCACAACAATTGTAACGGGTACAATGCATGGCAAACTCTTCAGTACTACTTATCTAGCTAACATGTACTCTTATGCCTACAGTAATGCTTGCTTGCAAGTTCTGACTATGTATCGAAACTAACAATATACTACGTCGATTAAGGTTAGACAGCCAGGTAATAAGATACGCCAAAAAGCTGTTACTCAAGCAACTGGATATGATTTTTGGAAACGGTTATTTCCAAAATCATCCAGTTGCTTGAGTAACTGCTAGAGTGTACATCAGTTGGTTGAGTCAGATATAATATAATTTCGTCTAACTAAAGCGTTGTATATATATTGGCCTATGTAACACAGTGGCGTCGGTGGCGCAACGGTTAGAGCGTTGGAACCAAGAGGCCCCGGGTTCGATACTCACCGGCGTGGCCCGACGTTGTGCCCTTGGGAAAGGCACTTTACACGACTTCCCCGCCATGTGCGGTGGAGCGACGCCCACCGAGCCTCTTAGGCTAATCTGTCTAACTGGGTACCAAAAACACCCTACGGATTTGGTGCGCCGATGTGAGAACATCTGCACATTAGCCACTGAGAGCCGTTAAATTTTTTGTTGTTTTGTTGTACAGGTAAGCACACCGTGTTGCGGGACCGGACGGAGCCGGTGGACCTACAGGCCAAGAACTACCAGCTCGTGTGCGCGGACACCGTGGAGCTGCCGACCAATCAGGACACGCGAGACCGTGACGCAAAGTTACACGTCATGGCGGCGATTCCAAATATGGAAGCGAAGCCTGGAGATGACGTTTTTGTCAAAAGTGCTGCTACTACTACGGAGTTTGTTGCGCAGAGAGAGAAAAGCTGCCCCGTACACGGAAGGTCATCCTCTCTCGATGACGTCGATCTAGCACACGGGCAGCTCCCTCACGCGCCTAAGGAGAAAACTAGCCGGACAGCCAGACGTTGGTCAGACGGGTTTTCAACCCAGAGAATCGTCGGAAGAAGAGACAGCGGCAAGTCCCCATCGGAGCGCGTTCTGTCCAAAGTGGGAGCAAAAAGTTCCGGCCACTTCGAGTCCCCGTTCATGCAGTCAGACAGGCAGGTCTCGTCACCACGCCGGGGCTCGCTAGGCTGCTCGGTCTGCCCCAGACACTCAGACGCTGAGCAGCCGGAAAGTCTGGAGTCGTTCTGGGAGAGGCTGTCTCGGCCTAAGACCAGGAGGAAGTCCTTGCCGTCTGGCCTGCCCACTGTGTCTGAAAACGTCGCGAGACCAAGGCCGAAGTCGGCTGACGCCAGGCTACACATGAGACGGGGTACTTTTCCTATCAATAGTAGTAAGGAACAGCTTTCTATTAGTCCTAGAGGATACACAACAAAGAACGGTTACTCCTCGACGGACAGAAACGAGCCTGAGCGACCACGGACACGCCCTGGTTCAGCTATGGCTAAGTTAGGAGGTCCGGCTTCGCCGCCTCAAAGCGCACGCGAAAAAGAACGCCCGTTGTCAGCGAGGTACACAACGCAAAAGACACAAGACGATTATTCCGTTAAAACACAGAATAGGAAAGAAACGACAGAAGAAAGAAACAGAACCGGTGGTTTGTCAAACGGTAATTACATCAAGGAGCGGACTTCAATCAGTCCTAAAAGTATCAGAGGAAGGAACGCCTTTCCTGGCACATCTAGCAACGGGCCTGAATCACCTACACCTCGGCCTCGTTCAGCAATGGCGAAGTTAGAACGTCCCAGTTCGCCGCCTCAAAACGCAAGCGAAAGGGGGCGACCCTTAGCTGGGAGAAACGCGAAGGAAATGGCACAAAATATCCCTTCAGATATCAAGAAAGAATTGCGAGAGGAGAGAAACAGAACAAGCAGTTTTCCTAACAAGGAGCGAGCTTCGATAAGTCCCAGAGGTAACACAGAAAGTGTCACAAACTTTCCCTCCCCAAAACCTCGTCCGCGCTCCGCAATGGGAAAGTTAGAAGTATCGGGTGAGAAAGAGTTACCCTTAAACAGAAGGACCCTGAAGGAAAAGACGACACCTTCCTTTGCCCCGGATAGTAGTAGGAAAGAAGCGCTAGCAGCGGAGAGCAACGGAAGCGACAAAGGGAGCGGCCGAATCCCCCTGGAGCGCGCCAACAGTTTCGTTATCAAGGAAAAGTGCGCGCAAAATGAGACGTCGAACAGAACTGCGAATCACCAAAGAGAAACAACCAGCCTCTCCGCGGCCAGATCCAAGTCGCTGCCTCTCATTGACGAGGTTTTCGATAATAATAAACGACAAGAAAGCTTCACTTTTGGTGGCTCTAGGTCCACGAGACCAACAGATGCCAGCTACAGCATGTCAGAATCTTTTAAACAAAACAATTCGTACTATTCTACATCTATAGCTTTATCTAATCACACCTCGCACGGTCGAACCGTGGCCGGTGGGTCTCATGAGAGACGTCGTGTGTCGGACTCCTGCGCCGTTGTCGGACGAAACCGCACTGAAGTCGACCGGGAAGTTTACGAGGACTTCCTGAAAGAAGTCAACGGGAGGAAGAAATCTGTGTCAAAACGCCTCAGTTCGCCGCCTACAGTCGATCGCCAAGTAACAACAACAGCAACAGTTGACCGACAAACATTAAAAACAACAGCAAAGACGTACACCAGTAGTAACGGCCACGCACAACATCACAGTAACGCATACAACAGGGAGACGATTTCTGGACAACATCACGACGCAGTCGACCGCCAAGTAACAACAACAGTTAACCGACAAATATCAACAACGGCAAAGCCGTACAACAGTAACGCATACAGCAGGGAGACGAATTCTGGACAAAATCACGAGGCTGAAGAGACAGACAGTTCTTCCTCTGGCTCTGGAGATGACACTTCACCTGACCAGAGAAGATCCAGTCTACGCCCGTGCACACCTGTCCCTTCAGATCACAAACTCCCCAGAACCGTGTCGCCCCGACAGGACCCGGTCCCCTGGCCGCCCTCTAAGATTCCCCGTCCGACATTTTACGCGGAACCGGAGGAGACGGTGGGCCCTGTGTCGCCCTCAGCTTGCTCGAACGCCAAAAACTTACAGGACTTCCTGGACTATCTGCACAAATCCAACGCGCTTCAGCGGTCAGACTCCGTGTCTTCGACGTCGGACTCCAGCGAAGGAAGCACTTTGATATGAATTGATTCTCTAATCTCCAAGCAGATCCCTTTCGGTGGCAAGACAGTATCCATTAGCCAGAGAAGGTCGCCGGCCACCAGGGTAGCGACAAAAAACGGCCATATATGAAAAGCTAAAGATCATTCCCCCACAACCTCTGCTTGGAGAGTAAATATTGATTCTCACAATGTCACTGTTAAAGTTACGTATATGTATTTTTGTAGCGTTACGCCCTGGACACTGATGAAGCAATTCACTTCTCAGTCACCTCGGTTTTATGTGTTAACTGTTGAAATAAATATTGCTACTTTTGTACATTTGGACTATTAAACTCTCCACTTTATATACGTCTTTTGCCGTTACTTGGTCAATACTGTATCCTGGTACAGTTTCCTCACACAGCTCTCCGTTTTATCAACATTTTTGATCTCAACTTTGTTTTTACTTGGACAATATTGTAATCATTAGACACCCTCATATGTTGCCAATATCAAGCATGAGTCATGTACAAAGAACACGTCCATAATCCCAAATGTATTCCCTCGTCCTTGCCAGACCGTTTGTTGACTTAACCTCTTATCCGGACACAAGGTCAATGTCAACTACTGATTCTAAATTAATCTGTTAGGTTTTCATTAATTTTTTTATTAGAACTTGTGGAAAGCGACCCGTGGCATATTGTTGTAATAAATGTTTCCTTGGGGGGGGGGGCAGCTTCACGTTACCTCCCTACGTAACTTAACGTTACCACTTTCATCGACATTCCGCCATCTTGAATTTGAAGGTCAAGGAATATTTGTCGATGAAGGTTAGACATCCAGGTAATAAGATACGCCAAAAAAGCTTTAAGCAACTGGATATGATTTTGGTATCCACTAGCTTCGTCAGTGACTGAGAGACCAGAGGGGAAATCCAGGTTTATAAGCTAGTGGATACTAGCTGAAACGTCTGACCAGGTTTCCAAAATTATATCCAGTTGACAGAACCTGACGTACAAGGTCAATATGTAACGAAGTGTCGAATATGTACAACGCACACGAGTAGCTGTAGGGCTGCATCTCATATCTACCCAAGGGAGGTCGTTGAAATTATCCTGTTCCTTTGTGAATTTATCGGCTCTGAAAGGTTTCGCCAGAAACCCCCTTGCAGTTCCAGAACAAGCTGTTAGGTGGACCAAACCCACACCACTTACTACTGGCAGGTAAAGCTATCCACCACTCAAAAATCAAGACCATAGCATGTCCAGGACAAAAGATACAAAAAACGGAAATTCTGCTGCAGTACCAAGGTCATCCACCAGGAGGCCCATATTTGACCTTGCCCTTTGTCTTTCCTAGACTTACCAACATACCAAATATCATCACAATCCATAAAGGTTTTATGAAGTTATGCTGACCACAAAATTGCGGAAACACACACAGACACACACACAGACATACAGACATTTTTAGTTAAAAATAGCTCCAAATGCCACAAAACTGGAGATAAAATGAGATTCCTCCATGCATACACTAAGGTACTTCACTCAAAATGGTCAGGAAATAGACATTTTCCCACAAGTCGCCCTCTATTGCCATTTATGAAACCATTATCTCCTGCGTTGCTAGGGAGGTATATTTTCCCTAGCAACGGTTACCATAGAAACATAATATAGATTTCCAAGGCCCTTTAAATTAATAATTTTCCTCGATTAGGAGTTTTCTTCAAGTTTTCCATATAGTGTGCACTCCATTTTGCTGGGAAAGCAGCCAAGTGCCTCCTTAGCAACGGCCCTAGCAACGGTTTTCCCCACAGAAGGCCTTTAAGAATAGAACTTTTAGACACTCATATCTCCGGATAGAATAGACGGATTTTTATGATTTAAAGCTTGAAATGTAGGAAATGATACAAAAAGTCAGATGAATGCATGCAGCAGGCTCAAATATGTAATCCGAATATTTTACAGGTTTTCAAAAGTAAACATTCTATTTTTTTACCAATTTTTACCAAAAATTCGAATTTCGAAAGCTCATAACGAATCGAAACATGACATATCGAAACAAAATTAACATTTTTGTAATCCTTGGTTCCTGTTTTATCATTCCATGAAGTTACACTGAAAAATATCCGTATTTGATTATTTGACGCTCCCCTTTGCATTATAAGTGCAAAAGGAAGCGGTTCATATGAGGTCAAAGTTCAAGGTCAGATAGCAAGGTCAAA